TGTGTTGACACATGTTCTAACACAATATATAAATTTTGTATGCAGCTCAACCTAAGGTTCTTAGCCTTGACATATGTTCACTCTAATTTCTTTCTCTCTCACTCTTAGTAATAATGGGCACATAAACTTTAGAATAGTTCACCATTCACTAGGCTATATTCAATATTGGAGAATCTCTTTCCTAGATTATTTTTCACTTTTCTAATGGAAATATAATTGACTTCATTGGCTCAGCTCTCTTAACATAATAGTTCAATCTTCATAGAGATCACACTCATCAAGGATAGGTCTTGACTCATAACACTACGTGCTTAAATCAAGATATATTTCTCGTCAAATAACAACACCCTTCACATGTAGATTTTGACTCTCAACACATGTGGATCATGTGCTCCACTCATCATCTAGGTTACTTTGGGACCTAATACAGAAAGACAGCTTTTAGCATAATTGTTTGATTTGTATGTTACCATAGATGATCGAGTATGATGAAACTTTAATTTTTTCATTAAAATACAATCACTTTGTTATAGAAGATTGTGTAAGATATCTTCATTTTGCATTAATTTTTTTTTATTTCAACTCCTTTTCTTTATACTTCAATGATTCATGCCACTTTAGCATCTGAAAATAGTTATATAAATTTGAATATCTTCTTGTTACTTCTACTTATTTTTAACTTCTAAGCTGCCTTGTTTGGTGATAATTGTTCTTGATATTTTGTATAGAGATTTTCACTTGATATTTGAACATTTCTTCTTTCAAGGTATTATTTAGAGGAGACTTTTTTACTTATCTTTAGTTTACATCTTTTATTAACAAGTTATCATCTAGAATTCAGACCTCTTACCTATGGTTATGCTTAAACTCATATCTTCTTACTTTTAGGTATGCTATATTTGATACTATGTTTGAAAATCTTAAGTTAATCAACATACATACTTGTCTTCGACATCAAGCTAAGATATTTTATCATTGAGCTTATTATTTAGTCCATGAACTTTGATGATCTGTTACTATTTAGAGTATAAGAGCTTGACCTTGAGTCTTTGTTTACTTTGAAACAAATGTCTCTCACATGTGATTTTCAAAACTTAATATTTAAAGATAAATGAAACTTGAATGATTGATCTTTCACTCAATACCAAGTTGAAGCTTAGTCATTTTTATTTTGTCACTTTCTGCATATAGGACTCTAATGTGTCACTATGTATATTATGTGGTGACGACTTCTCCACATTCTTTTTAATGTCATGTGAATGGTCAAATTCAGTTGCCTTGTGGGTCTTTAGCTTAAGCATTGCCTTAGTCACTAATCATATGCTTTGATTTAAATATCTCAACTTGCTTTCATGTGTCATTACATTACTCTAATTTGAATAATTTAGTTGTCATTTTTCTTGCTTCTACATAGTTTACTTTCTAAGTTCAAATTACTTATTTCTCATAATGATCTTTGATATTTTAATATTTTTGCATAGATACTTCATTGTTTTCATTGTTAGTTGGCTATGTTTGAGTTTCATTAGTGACTTTAGTTTTTCAAAATATTTGTGAGATTTCATCACATGCATTAGCATTTGTTACAATGTCCATATTTAGAGAGTATTGCATTAAATTACTTCAATATAAAAGAGTATCTCAAGAATATGATTTATTAGATTCTTTTTTAGCTATAAGATTGTACAAAACATCATCAATGCATATGATTTGAATGTTTATGAATTAAAATTATCTTGAAATGAAAAAAAATAATAGTAAAATCTATCTTGTAATGAATTATACTTTGACTAATACAAGAATAATTCACAAATTATTTTCCATTATATGTGTCAAAATACTCTATGCCAACATCGAGGGTATCTACGTTTATCTTTACTTTCAAATAATCTATATATAACCTTAAATGATTTATTTGAATTATTTACTTGGTTGAATATGATTCTATGAATATCGATAGATAAATTATGAAATATTTTTTTAATATTTTGAATAACTAAAATATAGTTGTATTTTTTGAGATTGTGATTCAATAGTTTCAGTCTTGCGACAATGATCATCATAATTTTATGTGTTTGGAAAGATTATGCAATGATGTTCAAGACCTCAAAGGCTCTTCTTGGACACAGACTACTTAAGTATTTTCTATATATCTTTTTAAAGTTCAAAAAATGATGATAGATGTTAAACTAGTTAAAAATAATAACATAGAGATTTAGGTGTCATGGTGACAATACATTAAAATCCTAAGTGTTCAAAATGATTATTGTGTAATATCTATAGCCTCAAAGGCTCTCCTTAAATATAGATGATATGACAAATCTCAATATCTTTTTGCAAAGTCTAGAAATCATTAAGGTGGGTCAATGAATCATCTCTAATGTTTATCACCTAGTGGAGTGAAAAAATGATGATTTTGTAAATCTTGATCGTTGTCACACAATGGAGATAAGTTGAATGGAGGTAGGACACATCTTAGGGAGCTTCATTCTTAGGTCAATATAACAAGAAGAGGCTCTTCATCACATTTGATACTCTCAGGAGGTAATGACTTATTACCTAGTAGATTCTCTTCTATACAACAATAACTTGTTAGTCAATCACTCGGAGATAACTTATTTGATCGATTTATGATCTTTTTATCTATAATTTTTTGATAATATTAGTAATGATATTTCACGAATCATATTGACAAGATTTTTACTAATGACTGAGTGATTTTGATGACTTAATCATTGATCAACACTCTACACAAAAATCATGATTTAATAAGAAAAAAAATGAATTTTGAACCTCTTAGGATTCAAACCTTCATCTATTACTCAACTACATGAGAGATAGGGAAATAAGTATACAAATACTTTAATAAATTAAAATCATAAGGATATCTACTCCTCATAAACAAAGAGTATTTTAACTATTAAAATTATTAAAAACCTTTCAAGTGGTTTAATTCTACATTGATTATTTTTTGGGTTTCGAGATAGATACATAATAATATTAGATTCTGACATCAATAAGTCTCTCTCTCTTGTGTACAATCACTCTTTGCCCTATGCCCAATTGGCCATTGATGACATCAAATGGGAGTGACACACATGTGTCTCCTATTAGTCCTTAGCCGTTCAAGCTCTTGCGCGTGACTCCACTTGATTGTGCTTCTGACTTGCTTGTGGGCCCAACTAGTTAGTAGGCTCTCATTTTTCTATATTTTTATTTTATTTTATTTCTATTTTTTATCTTAAAAATATGATTAGAAAAATTATATAAAATCATATAATTAATTAAAAATGTATATTAACTAATTAATTTTTTATAAACTAACATAAATATAAATTTATTTATCATAATTAAATAATTAAGCTATGTTATTATTAATTATTGACTCATGATAATGAAAACTTATCACATGCCCACCTTTGAAAGGAATTAAGTGTATAAATATGTGAAGCCTCTCAAATTATAAATAAGTCAATAAGCTTTAACCAGTCCTTATACCCTTATGTTATTTGTATCTTCAACTATGGATGTGATACATTTGTAGTCTAAAATCAAGTTAGTATCATTCATAGGTAAGAGAATGTCAAGCTTCATAGATACCCTTATGGGATTTTTGGTCTAATTGTCAAAGCACCCCATTAGAGCACTTTCCAATCATATACGCTGAAGTTTTTCAACCTATGTAACACATTAAATCTATTCTACCTCTTGCATGGTAAATTGTCAGAGTATTGCATTTACTCCACTCTAATATGCACCATAAGAAAAACATGAGCAAGAAAGAAAAATTCAAGCCATGTCATGAGCAAGAGGAATGATGCTATCATGACTTACATGTATGATGGAGATGAAGAACGTCTTACCTCTAATGAGGACGAAATAAAACAAAAATATGAAAGTAATTCTCAACACAAATCATTCATTCATGTTATGATAATGACTGGGTATTCAGTAAAGCGAGGGAAAATGAGGGCATTCATGTCATATAGCAACCACCTACTCTCAACTCCATTTAAATGAGAGTGACTTTACAGAGAGAGAGCAGGGGATAACCACAATGATCATGGCCGCCTCTGACTCCTCATGAAAGCGGACTGCTAACTTCAAGACCTCCTTTCGAAATGTCTCCCATCTCCTTGCCATTGCATAATTGATCCTGCCCACATTTGTAAATCTAACGCGATGGAACAGAAGTACAACTGTGACCTTGTTTCAATATCGCCAGAGAAGTTGTCAATCTTAAAATCAGGCCAAGAAGGCCCATCGACAGCCTTATGATCTTGTGCACTTATATTAAATAATATCTATATGAATACACGTCTGTAAAAATCTTACTATGATATTGAAGATGGTCGTTATGAGTTAAAGTATTATTTCTACATGAGCCGTAGCATGTGTTTATTTTATGTGAATAGCTTCACATCAAATAGGTGCTAGTTATTCAATTCCATGTCTTCATCATCGTCATCAACTTATCATTCGAAAACCCATGTTTCTTCCTGGGAGATGTACATTTTTTTATGAAACAAACGATAATTTATGGTCGAGATATGTGACCCCCGGGGACAGGTGTCAGTCGTTAGGCAGGCGAGTTGCCCATGTCCTCTGATTTATGGGTTCCGTCTCCTGCTTCATGCCGGTCCTCTCTCTGCTGTAATACCCTACTTTCGTCGTCCACAGTCACAGGTTCTCTCTCTCTCCCTTCCCGGATGAGTGAAGTGGACTTCAATAAAGCTTAGCATAGATTAGCCGAAAAAAGAAACATTCGTGAAGAAGCAAACTCAACTCATACCACAAGAAACTAAGGAAAAACAACAACAAGGGTAGTGATGCAGCAGATACGGCCATGTTCTCATCCCGACTTCTATCGGTTCCCGTCCGCGCCATCACTCCATCACTCTGACAGAAAGGTAAGAATCTACTACTTCGGATCCACCCGAGAGTCACCCGCCTGCGAGTCATTGGGCACTTGGTCTCTCTGTCTCTCTCTCTCGTCTGTCTTAAGGTGCACCTGTCATTTGTTTCACGTCAGCGGGATACGGTTCGACGATGGGCTCCGGCGCCAGTGGTTCGACGATGGGCGTCGGCGCCGACACCGGAGCTCCAGGGTTGTAATCAATGAATCCAGAACCACTTCCGGAGCCATACCCGTACCCGTATCCCGATCCGCCTCTCTTGCCCCCGCCGCCGCCGCCTCCACCACCACCGCCGCCGCCGCCGCCGCCACTGACCGCACCGCCGGATGACGAGCTGAAGCCTGACCCAGAACCGTGGCCGGATCCAAAGCCATAACCGTTGTCGCCCCTGCCACCTCCCCCTCCGCCGCCGCCGCCTCTCCCTGAAGCGGACCCGCCCCCGCCGTACGGTTCCCACCCTACATAGCCGGACCCTGAACCGAAGCCCTTCCCGTAGCCGCTGCCACGGCCTCTGCCACCGCCACGGCCTCCTCCTCCTCCGCCGCCCCTCCCCGAAGCGAATCCTTCGCCGCCTTGCGGCCCACTTCCCACGAAGACGGATCCGGACCCAGATCCATGCCCGTACCCCTCACCCCGACCGCCGGCGTAGCCCCCTCCGCTACCACCGCCGCCGCCCCCTCCGTCAGCGTAGGCCGACGAGAGGATCCTCGCCGCCGAGGAAAGGGTCAGCCCCAGAAGGAGGAGGAGGAGGGAGACCAAGGCTGAAGCTCGTGAAGTGGCCATGGCCGGGGATCGGAAGAGGCTGGGTAGAGACGACCGGAACGAGATGAAGCAGGGTGCAAGAGGGGAGGGGGTATTTATAGGAGGCGTCTCGTTACCTCGTGAATGCATGCAACGTCTGCATGGAAGCGATGAGAGTGGATGGAAGGGTTGACCTATCGTCTCCACGAGGCTCTTTTTTAGTCTGATCCTGAGATAATTTAGTCACCTATTCACCTCCAAGCTCGGCATCCATCTCTGTGATAATCTTATAGAACGTAGCATACTCCGTCACGTTGCCCTCCGGCTACCACGTTACGACAGTTGAATACGGGTGGGTGCCTTTCTCCGACAGAGAAGGTCGTGGGAACCGCGGGGCACGCGAAGTGAAGGGCCAGTAATGGATGGCGCCGTCCAAACTGTGGGCCTGCTAGCGCGTGCCTAGGGCTACAGAGGAAGGTAGGGGAACCTTGACTCTGTGTGTCTAAATCAGCGAGTGATGTCAGACTATACGTCCAACTTGACCAGTTCTTCCCGCAGGCCAGTACCGACGGGTGTGCTCCTCGTCGTGTGCTTCCAGTCCGCAGAGGGGCTACATATATTGATATATATACCTAGATAGATGTAGGGGGTGTGGGGGAGAGAGAATCGTATGGGGTCGAGCGTCATGTGCATGCCTAAATCTACAATCGAGATGCTCGAGTGACTTCTGAGATCGAGAGCAGGTGATTGTCTTCGAGGCAGGCAGGGACATGGCCGGAGAGAGGAAAGGGTTCCGAAGGAGCAAGGGAGAAAACGAGAGAGAAAACGAGGGACTCCTGCTTGGCCTCGACGAGCACCACACGTACGCTGACCTCCGAAGCGTTTTGCACTAGCCCCTCCTCTGGTCGCGGCGTCCCGCTGACCACGCGGAATTTCTTGCATCCTTAGCGAGAGAGAGAGAGAGAGTCCCGAGGGAGATGGTGCGCGCATTGAAGGAACAATGATGATCTCGGGAACTCTCTCTCTCTCTCTCTCGCTATGTCCTCTACGCAGGTCATAAGGCATTGCTCAAGCACATGATATGCATCGAGATTCCCCCCTCCACCACAAATGGCCTCTGGACTCTCTCTGTCTATCCCGACACACAGACACACATATCAAAGGACTCACTATCAGAGATTAATCACCTCCCGGAGTGGCAATGAATGCAACGAAGCGTCACACGCCAAGTACACGTACGTTCACGTGTTAGAACTCATCATCACCGCGTGGATCGAGACGCCGATTAACTGTTCTCCGGATCAACGCAAGTTCCATTAATTCACTTCTGCATCCGACCCACCCCCCGATCCTCTGCGTGTTCGAGCATCCATGGACTGGTACGATATTCGACGGCAAAATGTCTCTCTATGATGAGTAAAAGCTTCCTCATCTTTGTCACGCAGAGAAAGACGCATACATACATGTGTAGATAGATAGATGTATAAATATATATATATATATATAGCTAGAGAGAGGAGAGAGACAGAGACAGAAGCAACTGGTTAGGATTCCTGGCGAGGACTTCTGAACAAGCTCAAATGACGATTTTTCACAAGGGTTTCTCCACAAATGTCATAGATCCCATCTCCAGAATCACAGAGAGAGAGTCTTTGTCTTAGGGCTCGCCATGAAAGGGGAATTACGATCGTGCCGGATGGGGTGTCGCCGCTGCCGCCTCTTCTGGGCCTGGGTTTGTCTTCTGCTGATGACAGGGGCATTTGACTGGAGAGCCTCGTCCTCAGGGTACCCAAGGATGTAATCCAGCGGATCAGCTATGAGATCCCCAAGGCCAGAAACAGTAGTATCGACGCTGGTGTTCCTCTGGAAATTTCAAACAAGATGAGGATGATTAATAAGAGCTCAAAATGATAGCAGCTTCCACTAGAGATTTTTCAATCAGATCACCACTTGGGTTCCTGTGGGTGTCTCAAGCAACGTAGATTATTGCTAAGATCCGACTTTGAACAGAGCGTTTTTAATCAGAGCGATTAACCACGCTCCTCTGGGAATTTCAAACAATGTGGATTATTGCTAGGATTCCAACACAGACCAGCGGGTTTCTAATAGGGTCACAGAAGAAGAGCCGCGCAAGAGTAAAAGCTTCCCATATTTTATAAATTTCTACAACCATTGTTACCATCTCATCTTTTTGTTATACGATAATATAAAAGGATGTGTACTCACAGATGGTCCTGTGGGTTCTGAACCAGAGGGCAGTTTATTGGGAGAGGTATCATCTTCAAGAGAATCAGCAACGAGACCATCTTGATAGAAGTTCCTCGCCCGCCACCTTACCAAGGGCTTTTCTCGGCTTGAATCATCGTAAACATGCTCTGGGTAGAAAATTTTGCTGATGGGGGACCCAGGGTTTTGTAAATTCTTGGACATGACGCTGCAATTAAGTTTATTCCTCCTTATGGAATCTGGTAAACATAAATGATGCATACAGAAAGATCTGAAGCAACAACTTTTAAATAGGATATTATTCATGAATATTGGACTAAACTGTGCTCGAACATCACTTACATCCTTGTAACCTCCCTCTGCATGCGAGTTCCATGAGCTGCAAGAATGCTCTGAACAGAGGAATTCAGGGACTTATCAAATGTCCACCCGCCCATGAAAAGCGCAGCACCTGCCTGGTCAATTGGTTTGTTAAATTGTTGTAAGTGAATGGAAAGATCAAAGTACTCCAAAAGAAACAACACAGGAAGTTGAATGCCACTATCATGAGCCTTAAATCTAAAAGCCTTCTTGAGAATGTGTCGTATCATTTCTTTCCATACGTTTTAATCTAAAAACTAACTTATTATCCTTTGTTCTTGATCGAGTTCAACTAACATTTTTGAAATATTTTTTGTCGATTTGTTGGTTAGTTTTTCTGAATTGGGATCCTCCCACTGATTGGAGTCAGTGTTAATATATCTCTTTTATGAAGAGATATTGTTAGTTAACTGTCATAAAATGATGCCATGAAAATCTAATTGAGGGATGACGTCACTTGAGGTGAAGTCTACTTTAATATTAGATGAAAGTTCATTCCAGATAATCGTGCTAGTTTTGAATCAACTCCTTTTTTATTCAAAAAAATGTTGAATAGATTTTAAATTTTAATATATTCCTATACTTGGTTCCAGACACTAATATATTTGTATCCTTGGTCTTACTATGGCCAACATCTTGGATCTTGGAACGTTAGCTGGGCCACTGTTCACTCCAATTCCACTACTGGTTTAATGTTCGACTCCCAGGCCTCCTCACCAAGCAGAACAGGTACGTTTCTTCATATATCGATCTAAATAACTTAATCTACAGCTCAACGTGAACTTATTTTCAAATAGTTGTCGTTTTTTTTCCTTTTCTAGTTGTAGGATGGGCGTGTGTGTCTGTGCGTCTGTGGGTGTGGGGGTGTGTGTTGAAGGGGGGGGGTTTCGTTTACTGGCTTGGAGTGAATTAATGGTAAATAAATACTTGACACCATCAATAAACAAACCCAACGTGAGAAAAAATTCTAAAACTTATATGCTGTGACGCTGGTTTCAAGTATCTCATTTAAGATTTAACTACAATACAGACTCTGTACGAGTGAAAACAAATTTTTCTCCACAAAAAACTCCCAAGTATAATGACCAAGTTATATCTTTCTATTTCTGATATATGGGGAACCATACATCTCAACTTACCAATAGAAAAGCTAGTCCTTGATAGTGTACCAAATCGCTTCTTCGTAGCTGTAAATGTTATATAAAGAAACACGGCAATTTGAAGGTCATATCTTTCAATTAAAACCTATAAAAAAAGAATAATTCAAAAGGGAAAAGCAAATAGTTACCAATCAACAAGCATTCCCCACCAAAAACCGCATGAAACTAATGATACAAAATATTTTCATCTCATAAGAAACAATAATAAAAGCACAAGTGCTTATCGCAAGCAAGAAAAGTTCATATTGTGGGGAAAAGGTCGTAATGTGGGAAATGCTACTAAACGTTATTAATATGATAGATTAGTGTTGGTCATCTCAGCCGATTGTTAAACTGCTTACAGACTTCAGAAAGATGTCCACGTGTATTTTAATAAGTAAAAGATTTATTAAGCATTTTGCCAAATCAGATAAAATTTTCCAGAGTAATTCGTGCTGTAGGTCAACAGAATTGCAAAGGCTGAACTGATATTGATATTAAGTTACATAGAGATATTAGCGAGAGGTTGAAAATTACACAAGAGGATTCCACCTGAATCGAGGGGTTAAAAAGGTTCCACCCCTTGTGAATACTCTACAACCACGCTTTAAAAAAAGGAAGAGGAAGTAGTAGATAACTTTTAAGTAGGATTATGTAAGTAAGATTAGACTAGAAGAGATGGGCTACAATAAGGAAAAAAGAATTCGTTGCTTTTAGTACTCATTGTCTGGCTAACTACACATTAAAACCTTAAGTTACACTTTTGGACCTTGAAATCTTATATGGTTCAGAAATATGGAATTCAAAAACCGTTCAAAAAAGGGAATACCCCTTGGTTGAAATGATTTACGTTCGAATTAACGATTAGCACGTGCCTATGATGAATCTTATTGCTTTTGTATTTATGGACTCCCAGCTTCAGTGGGGCACGTCCAACATAGCAGACACCGGAAAGAGAAGATATATTAGACCCAAAAAGTGAATTTCTCCAGCAGCCAGGGTCTCAGATCAAAGGGTTGCTAAAGATAACTTGAAATTTTTTTCCTTGGGTCACTTGATAGTCTACATTATCCATATAATTATTCAATTTCCATTAAGAAATCCTCTTAACCACGTGGAAAATAGCTGAAAATACTTTTCATTTCGTACATCTGAGAATGCTAATAACTACAGCATAGAGTATCACAACAGTGAACCCTTTGCTGGACAAACATAAAGTAGATAGAAAAAATATAAGTTATTTTTCCTTTCACAAAATATGAGAAAAAATAATAGGGGAGAAGGAACTGCCAAGAAAAGTTGAGGTTTAAACGATTACTTTTGAATCAAAGAGAGCCAAAAACTCAAGCAGGCCATCATGCTCTTCTTAGGTACATCTAGAGTTACTTGGGAAACATTCCTCCAACCCATATCATCCCATTTCTTTAAGAAAACATGAATGCCTGCCAGACTCAGAACAAAATCCTCACCCAAGAACCGTCTGTCCATCAGACCATCAGTAATAGACGACTGTCGTCCTTTATACTAATCGAGAATTCGAATATCACTGTTACTCTCTACAGAATTTCTCCAACATATAAGACAACTAAGACCAGATAAGAGACCCTCATTCTGGTAGACTTGCATATTTGCTAAACAGGACAATAATGTTTCCGTGTCTTCCATGTCATCCGCTAACCTGCCTCTATAAATTGCAACGAAATAAAAAAGAAAATCTCACAAAATTGAAAAAGCAAGCTTTATGAGCATAGTAACGGAAGACAGGCAGATCAGAGATCTTCCTGTACACGAGTCAGCAGTCTGGCGAAACCAGGCTAAACAGGACGCAGAAGGCAAACATAGGAAATTTTCACATCTGAGAAGATAGATTACCTCCCCACACCAGCGCCGACGAGATACCAGCACTAGTGAGGAAAGTGTTGACCGCCCTCGTCTTGCATTTCTGCAGCACAAGCTCCTCATCCAACGTTATCGTCTCCTGCAAAGAGACGGGTGGTCAGAAACTCTGGCTGACGGCGGAAGATGGCCTCCAGCAACCAGAAGCCCAGAAGGGGCCTTGAAGATCGCAATCCCAAATAGCAAGCGGGAGAGAGGAATTCGGGACGAATTCAGAGTAAAAAACAGACGGGAAAAAAAAACAGCGAAGGAAAGATGGAAATCTCTGGATTCAACCATCATCACACCTTGGGATCTGAGCGCAGCACCCGCTCGAGCTCTGCCAGCACCTCTCCCATCTGCCGAGCTCCCAACGGCCAAGGAATGGCTCACCGCTCTACCTCCCTCTAGGGATACAATAGTCAGGGCGCCCCTTTCAACTTGGAAATGGTAATGGGCCGACGCGACCAGCCCAACAGTCATCGTCATAACTTTCTTACAAGTCGTTGTCCATGTGGTTACGACAGTTGCTGGGCTTTCGGGCCACACTTGTTGGGCCGCCGTCATTGCTGCATTCTCCTCCTCCCTTCACTGGTACGTGTCGGTAGACGGGACGGAACAGCATCTCACTCACTCATCGAAGGTTGGCTCGGAATATATCATATTAACCCTCCTAATGAAGATAAATATTATTTATAAAAGGTCACATAGGAAACGTGATGGGGAAAAAATCGGGGGCGGTGGTAACGGCGTCTTTCACTTCCCGTGTCCTTTTCCTGTCTAACGTCTCTCTGTTTCTCTCTCTAACGTCTTTTTCTCTCTCCGCCTCTGGAGAATCTGGAATAAATAAATCCGGACTCGGCGTCTCTACAAGTCCGCGCTGCTCAACAGTCATGCTCGAGGGTTCTCTAGAAGCCCCGTTTCATGGTTGTTGAGTTCATAGCATAGAGTCCCTCATCCTAACGCGAGCTCTCCGTCCTCCCTCTGCTTCTCTGACAGGCCAGGGACAGGGGCGATCTTGTGTTGGCCTCTGGCACGCCCTGGGGATCATTTCCTGCGACTAAAGAAGGCGTAGTCCTTGAGATTGGCCGCTTCAGGGTACTCTTAGGCGGAGATCTACTAATCCGACGGGGTCCATTGCTGGCCTTTACTTTGGTGTGCTTTCAGAACTCTGTCTCCGTCAGTAAGTGGTTCATTAATCCTTCTTTTTCGGTATGCCTCTTTTTCCTCGCAGAGGAAAGTGAGCGGCGTTTTTTGTTCTTCGATTCTCCTGAATGCAGACTTCTGTTCTTCATCCCATATCAGTGTTTGGATCTGGATACGTCTCCTGGAAATTTGAAGTGATAAAGCATTCAGAATACATGTATTTTTTTCCTAGTCGAAGAACCGTATGAACAGTGATTTAAATGACAGATTTGCATGATGAGAGTTTCCCAGTGATTCGGACCGCGATATCCTGCCAATTTCATACGTTAAAAGTCAGTTGCAGAATTATTGTATTGCCGACTGGTTTCGATCAGTTCTTAGTTTTGGTTGTGGATCAGTTGTTTGGATTTTTTGCGAGGGTTTGTTAAATTCCTTATGTGAATTTTGCGTTCTCTTTTAATTTCCTTAAGTTTTCGTCATCACATTTCCTACCCATTCCCAAGTGCTCATTTATTTTTCCGCAGGTTTTTTGGTTAGTTGCATTTATTTGCACCATTCTTACGTCTATTTCTGTAATCGTCATGCAGTTGGTGGTATCCTTTGACAGGAATTCCTGCGCTTCGGACGCTGGTTACGATCTGCACAGGAATTATTATCTTGGAGATCAAATCTGACAGGATTATAATCTGCAAAATGGAGATACTGACGATTATTTCACATCACCGAAGCTATGATAACGGGGGTAGGACGCAGATTGCTGATGCTTACCGTTCCTCTCCTTCTAGAGGCTTAAGAGGCATAAACTGCCGGACTTACGAGTCTAAGATGGGGATTCTGCCTGCACCTTCATATGAAATCATCCCTTCTGGCAGCCCGCAAGTGACTAGCCAGCGTTCAGTGCCCTTTTACTCTGAGCCCGCTAAGCAGCCCAGACGAAGCAATCCAATTACCATAGGCCCGCGGCTGGCCAAGAAAGTTCTCTCCTTTGATGATGAACTGTGTGATTCGGAACGATGGGCTGGGCCTACGTACTCCAATTCTCCTCCTCCTAGCTCATTGCCGATGCCCAACTTCTCTCTTTGTCAGCGAACTGTGTCCTTTGAAATTTCTCGCCCAATATTTGGTAACGAAGATCGTCCTCATGCAAAGTCGGCCCCGTCTTCACCTGACAAGAAATCTTATTTTTCATCCAGTGATTTCTTCATTAGAACTGACACGGCGACACAGGGTTTGAGACGAATCCTTCATTTGGACACTTGAACAGCGGAGAGCAGGGTAGGGTGGAGGGTTCAGTGCGGGATTGTTCTGTAAATAACCTTATCCTAGATTAGTGTTTGCTATTGGCTAGCTGTATAGGGGACTAGTGAAAGACGTAGGCGTTTGTTTAGGAAAGAAATAGCTTTTCTCCCCAGCTCAGTCATACAGAAGGGAAGTAATGAGGGCCAGAATGACACGGAATTTCTTGGGGTGGCTCAGATTGTTGCTCACTTGCCCGAACATAGCAAGAACTAAACTTTTCATGTCAGAGAAGTTTATTTATAACGTTAGGCACATTCTGTGCCCGTCGATGTTTAGCTGTGGTGTTTTCCTGTCTGTTGTTGATCTGTAGTATTGTTGTCTGGTTCATTAGATAGAGATCTTAATACACAGCCTAAATGTTCATTCAATGCTCCCCTCCTGTTCACCAGCCTTCTTGTATCTTTCTCTTTTCTTGGAAGGGAAAGGATGGAAAGGGTGTCAGTGTGTGATGTAGATTGACTCCATTTTGCTCCAGCCTTCCCCGCTAGCTGTTGACCCTGCTTGTAGCTTCCATCATGTAGCTTTCAGATGTTGGGGCGTTACTAGGTTGTATTATGTTTTTGTAAATTCGAAGTGCTCTTCTTTGGCTATGGTGTTCTTCTGTCTCCAGTTGTGGATAATACCAATGGTAAGTCCTGTTGCTTGCTGAAGCTACCAGTTTATTTTTCGTTGTCATTCTTGTTGCAGATATTGAGTCAAGTTCTTTTTCTCATATAATGGAGGAAGGAGTCGGCTTCTGTAGGCCTCCTCTTACTCATCTACCAGGAGGTTTTAGTCACCACTATCGTCGTCATCATCCACCCTTTGCTGGATCACCTCTCTTCAGATGTTTGAAGCCTTTGATGCTTCTGGTGGCCAATGCTGAAAAAGTTTTGCCCAGTAGAATGGAGGAGGATGTGCTTCGGCAGACGGCCAAGCCGAATTCACTCACCCCTTCGGGAGTGCCGTGCTGTGTCTAAGTCTTGCTTTCTAAGGTGAAGCCTTTCGTGTTTATTTATTTTCCTTGTACCTAGTGTGACAGATGCTGAATCAGTCTTTTCTTGTAGAATGGCGGGAGAGACAAGGGTTCTTCGCTGCCTTGTGTTATTGGCCCCTTCTTGCTCCCTCCCCATTGTGCAGGCCTTGTGTGAGGGAGGAGGGAGCAGTGTGTTCATGGCCCGAACTCGCCGAGTGTCCCATCTGTACCAAAGTTTGTATGGTACTGATGCGCGTCAAATGGTCGTAAATGGCTAGTTTCTTTTCACAACTCGAGAAACACAGCATGAGAAAACGAGTCTCACAAGTAATGAGATGAACTGGTTTTTTGTTCAGTTGCGGGGAAGGGGGGGCGTGATTTCCTGATTGATTCAGGTAGGAGGTAGCAGCCATGAGTGATCATTCGCTTCTGCATTGTAGCCGCTGTTGTATTCGGAGAGTGTGCCCGAAACCCAGGCTCTGACCAGCAGCTCCCACAGCAGAGGAGCCACCCTCGAGTTATCCAGTCCCGCGGTCCGGTACTCCAGAACCCAGGTGTTCTGCTCCAGGCGGATGGTCATAGTGGTCCACCTGCTGTAGGCGCCTCCCGATGCCGGCTCTGCGAACCCGAGCTCCTCCGGCGACCACTGCACATCGCAGCGAAGTGAAGGGAGGGGGACGGAGACGGAGTCGGAGATTCATTCGTACCTGCACTCGCCGGAGATCGATCGAAATAGTGAATGTTGAAGTGAAGTGGACGATGATGCTTACCTCAGTCATCCTGCCGGATAAAACTGTGAGCCACCGGGAGGAGAGCCCCGTGGATATCGCTCCGGAGGTCTGAATAGGGCTGCCCCACACGCTAAGTTGCTCCAACGCTGACTCGTAGATCACACACCGGGCGCGGAGGAGCTGGCCGTCCTGCGGGCAGAAGAAGAGTGTTTTGTCTCCAAGAACGTCGATCAGAAAGGGGAGCGAGTGGAGAAGATCTACTCTACCTGGAGGAATCCCCAAGAATTAGAGTCGGCAGAGGAGCAGTTGCAGACTCTGTCTGTGCCGAGGATCTTGCCCATGCTAGTCTCCAGGGAGGCAAGCTTCCCCCTCAGCTCGCCGGTAGCCTGCGACTGCTCTCCCGCCGCCGCCGTCTTCACAATCTCCGGCGATAGCCTCGGTCCACCGAGACTCCACTGCACGACCGCCGGGAAACCGTAATCGGCTGCGAGGAGGAAGCATAAGCCGAGGAAGAACCTCAGGACTCGCCGATTGAAACCAGGCAATCTCGGCGAAGAAGATCTTGTTTCCGTCTGGATCAGACGATCCTTGGCGGATGGCCGAGATTTCGCCGTCGAATGCAGAGGAGGCGACGACGGAGTGCTGCCGGTGTCGGACCTCTCCGTGGTCCGAGAGGGTGAGAAGGCCGGCGCTGGCAGGGGCGTGCGCTGCCTTCTCTGGACCGGTAGGGGCGATGTGGCGGAGGAGGAGGAGGAGGAGAGCTTGGTGATCGAGCTCCTCTGTTGGATGCTACTGCAGCCGGGAGGGATGAGGTCGAGGGTCGCGTTGATGCTGGCGAGGCAGATCTCGCAGTGGCAGTTGGCGTCCTTCCGGCAGCCGGGGTAGTAGCAGCTGGTCTCCGCCGCCGCCTTCCTCCCATCCGGTGGCTCCCGGCCGGCAATCGCCGCCGACGAGGGTGTCTTTGAGAAGCCTCTGCCCGCTGACGACACCGTCACCGCCACCATCTTCCGTTCCACCTCTCTCTCTCTCTCTCGGTCTCTCCGTCTCTCTCTCTCTCTGTCTGTCTGTCTGTCTGTCTGTCTCTCTCTCTTAACTGTTAGTTCGGAGGGGACGGATTTGAAATTCAAATGCAACGGTCACTAATAGCGCTGCAGCAAGTGTCTTGATGGCGAAAGACTAAATTGCCCTCGATATAAATCCCCACCTCAAACGCCCTCTTGAAACCTGAAGCCATCCGTCCATATTTCGATCTCCCTCTCCTCTCCTCCAAGCGCCTCGCATTTTAGGCACCGCACAGTAGGAGCTCATTTTCCTTTCACTTGGCATGAGTCGATCTATTTTATCTTCTTTTAAGGTACGGACCGGGCAGCAAGATCCTCCCTCTCCCTCTTCACCTTAGCGTTATATAAATCATTTGTTTTCTACCTTTTGGTGCCTATGTCTTTAGAGAAATTCGAAGAAAAAATTACGGAACGGAGGTTGCTTTGAGCTCTTATTTTTAGGCAATGTTCTTGCATTTACGCGCTTTGAAATTTTTAAGCATTTTCTATCTTCATGAATTTATCTCGTCCGCATTCAGCATATAATTTATCATCACTAAAACATTTAGTCTTACATGGAGCCATATCCATCAGATTCATTTCTTCAGGTAGATTTGAGACAGCACGAGGAAGATTTTCGCCAACTTAGCCAACTTTATTGATGTTCTTTACTTATTTTAATCATAGTAACGGACAATTTTTTGATTTTTTTTTACTTGTTTTAACCATAGGAAGGGATAATTTTTTGTCGAAATGGAGGTTTGGCTTAGGTTTAGATGGAAGTATGAAGAGAAAATGGGTTTGAGCTTAATCTGCTTCCAGTAACAAGAGCGATTGTATCAGAAGAAGAAATCGATAAGGGCTAAAATTTCAGATAAAGTTATCTGGCAAAGAACCTGGATTCAGGTCAAATTTGGCGGTTCAAGTAGAGCTCTTCAGATGGGAGTGATCAGCAAGTTTATGAAAAAAAAAAAGCAAGGATATAATTCTTTTTAATGGTTCTGAAATTACGCTTTGTTTAATCAGATTGTGTCATGGGCAGCTATTATCCATCATGTCATACAACGAACTCCACCGCCTAGGTAAACAGAAAAACCTATATTGGAAAGCGAGTCGGATCATAGCAGCTTTTGCTTGTAGGACGAACTTATTGGATTAATATGCTGTTCATATGATGATTTAAAACGGAATCATTTATTTTCCAAAGTATTTAAAATTAGCGTGAGGGCAGATAAGTGGTGTGGAATTTGGACCGATTGGCTATCATGTGACCCTCTTAAGGCGCCCAGACCAGTCTTAAACTAAAGACATCTTCTCTTCAGAACTCGGTCATAGATCTAGGCTTTCAATTGGTTGTACTAACATAAGAACATCAGACACAACGGGCGGTGATGAAACAAGTGACTAACCCAGATTTAAATCAAAATTTGGTTAAGAATATCAGATCATTGGTTAGAGGGTTATGATACAAAAGTTCAGTGAGTATTGTCTCTCATAAGTGGGAGCTAGCATGGTGACACGACCAATTGGATTTATTTATCATTTTTGAATTATGCAAATTTTCAATTATATTCGGATAAAAATTGCATCAATCATATTTTCATGAAATAACCAATTTATTAAAATAATGAAATAACTGAGTGAAGATAACTAATGACTTCAAATCCTTGAAAAGCAAATGAAAAATACAGAAATCTATATGTATATATATGATCTGATTTTAAACAGGTACACAAGAAGTCTGATGGATGCTTTTCTGACCCACCAATTGGCTTTTATCTCTGCATATTTATTGGCTTGCATAGACAAATAAAAGTCATGGTAACGAGCCAGAGAATCAGTCACAGTCTTCAAATTAAGTCAATTTACAACCATTTCTTGAGTACTCAGATGATGACTCACTCTGATTATTGCTACAAAGAAAGACTCAGATTATCACACAAATTGAGATGGATGAGATCTGAAACGACCAACCAACTTACTTTACAGGTTGGAGGGGATGATCGGTGGAGAGGAGGCTGTAGATGAGCATGTTTCTGGTCGTCCCCTTGAGCGAGATGTACTTCCTCAGCACACCCTCGCAGAGGAAGCCGACCTTCTCCAGGACCCTCTGTGAGGCCCTGTTCTCGATGTCCACCAGGGCCTCTGGCCTCTCCAGCTCCGGCACCTTGCAGAACACTGCCGCCGCCACCGCCCTCACAACCTCTGTCGTGATGCCCTGCCCCCAGTACGTATCTGATCTCCCCCCAGCACCAGTCCGGGCTGCTGGGGGCGTGGACATTAAGAAGTCAGAAAATAAGGAAAGCCTTGTTCACATATTTAGATATAGTTGAAGGCATTCTCATCAATTGGACGTTCTACTTATCTATTTGCTTGAGCCTCTTTGATAACATTTTTCAGCCTTTAGAGAAAGATTTTTCTAGAATATCAGAAGATCTAAAGTCATCTATGATGACAAAAAGTAGGAAGCTAGATTTTGATTTAGAAAGTATACTTCTGCAACCATCAACCAATGTAATGTCTTTCTGATACAGGTTCTGTGAGCCTGAGCTTCTCCGGCAACTACTGCACATTACAATCAAGTGAAGGGATGGGGACGGAGATAGAGATTCATTCATACCTGCACTCATTGGAGATCAATTGAAATAGTGAAGGTTGAAGTGAAGTGGAGGGAGATATTGCTCCAGATGTCTGAATGGGGCTCCCTAGATGTTAAGTTGCTCCTGGGCTGACCTGTAGATCACACACCAGGCATGGAGGAGCTGGCCATCCAGCGGGCAGAAGAGGTGTGTTTCATCTCTAAGAATGTAGATCAGAAAGTGGAGCAAGTGGAGAAGATCTACTCTACCTAGAGGAATCCCCAAGGATTAGAGCTGGTAGAGGAGCAGTTGCAGACCATGTCTGTGCTGAAGATCTTTCCCATTCTAGTCTCTAGGGAGGGCAGCTTCTCCCTCGCTAGTGGCTGGAGGCTACTCTCCCACCAATGCCGTCTTCATGATTTCTAGTGACAACCTCAGTCCACTGAGACTCCACTACACTTTAGGACTCAAAGAGGAAGCATAACCCAAGGAAACATTTAAGAACTCACCAATTGAAACCAGGTAATGTAATGGGCTTCCAGTGGTCCTCCAAATCCCATGTAAGAAGTGATTCAGCTATTGCCCTTGTCTTCCACCATGATCGCTCATCACTTTTGCACATACTTGTTAAGATAAACTTGGAGATTGTGAGTATTCAGGGAGGATAATGGCTACCTTTCTTTCAGTTATCTAAAGGGCAAGGAGAGAAGAATTGGTAAAAAGGGTCAAAGAGTTAGAGACCACTCAAAACATCTCAACCCAGCTATCTTTATTTCCATTCACTTCTCTTGAAGCCCAAAGTCCATCTTTCTCTCTCTCTCTCTCTCATTGTCATTCACTTTCTCTACGGGTTAAACAGTGACAACTTGTATTGGTGGGTTAAATAGTGACTACTTGTTGCAAGTAGTCATTATTTTCCTCTGTTAGTTGTGACTAAAGGAGATGAACAATGGGTTTCTTTTGTAAAGATTACTGTCCATCTAAGACTTCTCTTTATTCTCTCTCTCACATGCTCTACATCAACTCCACCCTTGACTCTCCTTTATCATTATTGTCCTCTTTAGTTTTCTCTCTCTTCTATAATATTTTTCTCTATTTTATTTATTATATTTCTCTTCTAGCACCATATGGCACCATGACAAATTGAGTCAAGTGCTGAAGGCATGGAGAAAGATATGAATGAGCTCCAATACTAATATCATTACATTCAAACAGACACTGGCAATGAACAATGCTTCAATAATTTGGTGGGTATTCTTTCTCAAATCCAACAATCTCTCTCTATGTTATGAACTTGTATTCAATGGTTAGAAAGTTCCACCAATCATATACCTCCACTATCTCTAATTTCTCTTGGAGAAGGATATCCACCAGCTACGTGGGTCAAGATTATTCTTATGTATTGCATCAACACCTAGAACATTACATTGACTCAAGCCTCAATATTGATCACCTATAATTGCCAATTTTCGTAAGACTTAACTTGCATGACTAGTTATATCAGTTCCATCCACAAGTTGGATGGATTTATGTCAAAAGCTCATGAAGATATTTGAGAAATATTTCTAAGACACACTACAACTTCAATTGTTTGTACTACAACAACATCATTTAGTGGCAGAATATTGTGCAGTCTTCGAGCTTTTGTTGGGCACAATAATTATTTTCTCCATTGATGTCCTAAAAGATATTCTACTCAAAGGGTTGAAACTCAATATTTAGGTAAAATTCATTCTACTCTAACCTATTGAACTTTTGGACACTAGACAAGTAACACATAGCACAAAGAACAAGCATTCAAAACCCACCTAGCTATAACAATTGGCATGCCAAAGTCCTCCCATGACCAAATCAACAATTATAAACATCATCAATTACACGTCATTGTATTTTTCTTACCAATGTTGTATATTAGTATATTTTTCTTGTGAAGATAAGTTCACCCAAGGCCATAAATGTTGAAATGAATTATTAATTGTGATTGTTAGTGAAGATGAGCTCAACTTAGACAACAATAGTAATAACTTTTTCACAAATATACTAGACAAGAAGATTGATCTCTCACTCAATTTAGTGATGGTCCAACCTATTAACATAACATGAGAAAACTTTAGAATTCATAAAACATCAAAGTAGAATACGTGACTCTTATATAAGAGAGAGGAGAGATGAGAAGAGAGATAGATAATGGGCCCTAGTAAGTTAAGAGTTTGATACCATTGTTGAACACTTTTCCTCTAGTTGAAGTATATAAGGTGAATATTTTCAACTTGATACACATGGTGTCGTAAGAGATATTGACCAAACTCTTCGTAGAGACATTTGCAAGCTAATAAAATGATGTCACATAAGGAGTAAAGATAAGTCTAGATATAACTTTATCTTGAATGTAATGACAGTTGATCTTAATATGCTTCGTACACTTATGAAAGGTAGGATTACTAATAATGAAGATGACGTTTTAATTGTTGTAATGTATGATCATTGGAGAGAGAGAAGTAACATCAAGATTGTCAAAAGGTAATCAAAGCTATATCATTTCATGTGTTGTCTTAGTTATAGCTCAATACTCGAATTCTATATTAGAGTATGACACCACCCTTTGTTTTTAAGACTACTAAGTGACTAGGTTACTATTGATATATATGCAATAACTTGTAATAGACTTCTAATCACTCTTGTCACCTGTATAATTGGTGTCAAAGTAGGTTGTAATATGAAGATAGTTATGTTGTCGATAAATGAGTCATTTTCTTAAGGCTCACTTGATGTAGGCAAAGACTCGTAGAGCTCCCTCCTAATAAATTCATTGAGGCTCTTACATATACTAGCTTAAGACACTAATTGTATATAAGATGCCAAGACAAGTGATAGTGAGATATATTAGCTTATTTAATAATTGCCGATACTAGTTAACATCCTCGAGTAAGGGAGATGAAGTGTCTTATAATTACAGGCAAGCTTTCATAGGCAAAGTTTCTAGCTTGCACTTTATGAGGCCTATCTCTTGAAGTATGTCAAAGTCATATTTTCGCTGAATGAGAGCGAGCTTTCCACCTTGATATGTAAATTCAATCTGAAAAAAATACTACAGAGTCTCCAAGTCACAAATATTGAGATGTTGCTACATGTAAGCTTTGATAGTAGAGATGTTGGCCTCATCACTTCCAGTCACAAAGATATCATTGACGTAGACTATAAGGATAATAAGATTACCCTTTATCTTCTTCATGACTATGCTTGGATTCATAGTATAAGTGGCGAAGTTGAGGGTGGTGAGTAAATCACTAAACTTTATAAACCAAGTACGTGAACTCTGTTTGAACTCATAAATAACATGCTGCAAGACATAACTTCGATGACTCCCCTTAAACAACATATCTAAGAGGTTGCTCCATAAAAACTTGCTCTTTGAGGTCATCATAGAGAAAGGTGTTAGAAATATTTAACTGATGGAGAAATCATGTCTAATTGATGACGAGAGAGAGAAGCACATAGCCAAAGTTGAGGCGAACAATGGGAGAAAACATTTTAGTGTAGTCAATCCCATATGTCTGCATGAAACTTCGAGTTCTACTAGACAAGTTTTGTGACAAATGATGGAGTCATACAAGTGATACTTGAGGGTAAACATCGACTTACACATCACAATATTAGCATTGGTCGAACGTGGAATCAAATGTCAAATCTCTTAAATGATCAATGCAGCCACCTTTGAATCTATGGCCACCTTCCACATAAGTACATGTGTAGCCTTAACATATGATCATGGAAGTAACTTAGAGGTCATGAAGAGGACAAATATATGAAAGAAAAGAAAAAGACGACCATAGGAGACAAACTAAGAGATGAGATGGTGGGTCAGGTGTGCATACCTTTGCGGAGGGCAATAAGGAGATGAAGGTCATCAAGTGGAGGAATGATTGAAGGCATGAAGGAGATTATAGGAGAAGATGAGGAGGATACTATATTTGAAAGAGGAAAAGTCACGAGAGACATAGACTGAGGAGAGGCAAATGTGGATAACAACCTCCACAAAGAGTGGAAAAGAAGAAAGAGAAGGGGAGGGGTTTGCAAAAATCACTAAGAGAGGAAACCCAAGTAGAAGAAATATAGCGTCACGAGGAGGAGTCAAAACTAGAGAGAAGAAATGAGATTCCTCATAAAAAGTGACGTCAACCAAGGTCACATAGCGACAGATATCTAAGAAGTAAACCTAATAGCCCTTTTGTATGTGAGAGTAGTAGATAAAAACCTCTTTAAAAGTATGAGGGACAAGTTTAAAAAGAGAAGGAGAGGAATCTTGGACGAAACCGGTGCATTCAAAGATTTGAGAGGAAAGAGAAAAAAAAGGAGAATTAGACATTGAGCGATGGAGAGGGATGGCCTCTCCTAAGAGGAGTAGAGGAAAGTTGATTCTTGAGGTAAGTGGTAGTGAGAAGGGTGTCAATTCAAAGATAGTGAGGGATATTCATCTCAAGAAAAAGTGTGCAAATGTTGTTAAAAAGCTAGTAATATTTATACTCAACAACACTATTTTGCTGCGAAGTGTAGGGGTAGGTGGTCTGGTAAAAGATGTCACGATCGACATAGAAGGTTTAGAGATAGGTTTAAGATAAACTCAAGGGTGTTATTAGTATGAAATTTTTTGAGCTTAATATGTATTTGGTGATAACTTTGGTAATGAAGTATGTAACTATGGTAGCTATCATAGAAAAGGTAGACCTAGCTTGCATGAGTATAGTCATCAACAAAAACCATGTAACAAAAATAAAGAGGAGACACCAACATGACTAAGGTAAGAAATGTAGTGATGTTTGCCTAATTGACAAGACTCACATACAAACTTAGAGAGAGAAAGTCACAGTAAGATTTTTTGTAATTTAGAGAAATAAGAATAGCTTAAATAGTGATGTCATAAAAAAGAAGACGTAGTTATAGAGGTGACAAAAAGGGCATGAAGGCCATATGAGCGTTTGTTAGAAACGAGCTTGTAAACACCTCACACATTTTCATTGCTCAAACTAATCCTCCATTTGGTATGTAGATCTTGAAAAATATAATAAAAGGAAAAAAAATGTAACAATACAAAGGAGAGCATGAGTAATAGCATTGATGGAAAGGAGGTTAGTAGGAAAATCAAGAATATAAAGAACTTGGGTGAGGAAAAGAGAGGGAGAAGGCACTATGACCTTTGATTGGACAGGTCCAACCATCAGCAATAGTGAGAGGAGGATGGGTGGGTTAGAGTAGTCTGATAAGAGGAGAGAATAGTGGAGATATTAGTTAATAAGTCTTTATTACCATAAGTTAATAATTAATAATTAATATATTTTTAACCTTAACTCATGATAAATAGACTTATAATTATGTTAATTTGTGAAAAGTAGCTTTTAGTTAGTTAATGTCATTTTTAGCTAATTATGTGATTTTATATAAATTTATATGATTTTTCTAATCATGTTTTTGAGATAAATGAAGAAAAAGATAAAAAATAGAAAAAGATGGGATCCGTCGGCTAGTCGAGCCCACAAGTAGGTTGGAAGCATAGTCAAGGTAGAGTTGCGAGCAAGGGCACATGTGCACCACTCCTCTTCCACGTCACTGGTGTCCAACTAGCTGTGGAACAAGGAATGGTCACACACACACGAGAAAGGGACTCATTGATTCCTAAATCTCGCACTACCATATATACGTCTCCACATTCGATGTATAACTAATGTGGGACTAAACCGACGATCATGCCTTCCCTGGAACGTTTTCAAAGATTTTAACACCTAAAATATCACTTCTTTATAAAAGCAAGATACCATGATGACGTTACTATATAGGGATATTTGAAAACTTATTTCCTTTCTCTCATACCAGCGAACGACTAACACAAGTTTGAATCCTACTAGAGCTAAAATTTATATTTTTATCTAATTAAATTACAACTTTTTTGTGGATCAATGGTGAAGGATTAAGTTGTCAGAATCGTTTGATCATCGATAAAATTTTTATCAATGTGATTTATAGAGCATTGTTACTAAAATTGCTGAATGATTTAAGATAAAAAAATTGTGAATCTATCAACTCATCTCGATTGAGCGACAAGCAAGTTGTTGTCGAGAAAAAGATAATCTATTGAGAGACAAGTCACCACCTCTTAAGAACATACCAAATGCAATGAAGAGCCTTCTTTTGCTGCACAAATTTGAGGATGAAGCTCCCTAACATACGCCCCACTTCCATCCAGCTCTTCTTCGTCAAGTGACAACTACTAAAGAGTCGCAAAGTCGTTATTTTTTGGCTCTATTAGGTGACAACCACCGGAGACAATTTGACGACCTATTTTATTGATCTCTAGACTTCACAAGAAAATCTAGAGATTACTCATGTCGTCTTTGTTCAAAGAGAGTCTTTTAAGCTATGAACACTATACGACAATCTTTCTGAATGCTTAGGATTCTAGTGCATCGTCAATGCATCACCATGATATCAAAACTTTATTTTACTATTTTTTAATTAATTTAACTTCTATTATTATTTTTTAAATCAAAAAAAGATTTACTGAATGCCCAAATTGTCTATATCCAAAGAGAGCTTTTGAGGCTGTAGACATCATTTGATGACCCTTCTAAATACACAAAATTCTAACGATTGTTATTGCAAGGCTGAAACTCTATCTTTCTTATTTTAAACTTAATTTTTACTTCATTTAATGATAATTTGTGTGATTTAAATTTACCAAATTATTCTTCATTCAATTATAAATCTTTTAGCTTTTACAAATCTTAATTTGATCAATTAAATCATCTATAATCACTTATGTAAGAATCACCAAGTAGAACTTTATTTTTTTCTGATTTGTGTTCGTCGAGTGATGATGTCATCTTGATGTCTGTACCCTTATTTTCTTTTTTTGTGAATTTTAAATATATTTTATTTTTATTTATTAGTATAAAATTAATATAAAAAATCATATTCTTTGAAGAAAATTCTAAAAAATTACCAATATTATATTACATCTTTATGAATGATTTGAAACATTTTCATTATTTTTAGATTTTTGATTAAATTTAAGTTGATATATTTGTTCAAAAATACTTCTAAATATTTGAAATTGGTATTTTCTAGTTCAAAAATACTTCTGTAACAACTAAGTCATCATTGGTCATGTGAGTGAAGGCCTCAAAATTGATAATCTATGGTGTAAAAAAAAACTAAGAAGAAAGTGTGTACCTAGCATAGAGGAAGCCAAAAGCGAGGCGAGACTAGTAGAGATGGAATTAGCATGACGAAGGACATTGATAAGTTTGCATTATCATGACTTAATAATTAGTAAATAATATAGTTTTAGCCTTAACTCATGATAAATAGACATATATTTGTGTTAAAGTATGAAAAGTGATTTTCAGTTGATTAATGTGATTTTTGAGTAATTATGTGATTTTATATGATTTTTATAGTCTTAGTTTTGAGATAAATAAAGGAAAAGAAATTAAAATAAAAATAAGATAAAATGGAGGGGACCCACTAGCCAGCCAGGCCTGCAAGCGGGTCGGAAGTCCATCGAGTAGGAGCTGCAAATAGGGGCTCAAGCGACTTGAATCGATGAAGGCACATGTGCGCCACTCCCCTTCCACATCACTAGTGGCCATCCGGCCATAGGGTAAGGAGTGGTCATACACAAGCAAGAAAGGGACTTGATCAAGAATGTAATATTACTTTATATTCACTAAAAACTTCGACACACAACTGATGTGGGACTAAACATGTGTCACCTTCCCTCGAAAGGGTGGGCAACTGATGTGGGTTCAAATCCTTCTAGAGCCAAAACTTATATTTTTTTATCTGATTATTGCAACTTTTCTATAGATCGCGTGTGAAGAATTAAGCAACCAAAATTATTAGATCATTGACAAAAATCTCGTCAATGCGATTCACAGAGCATTATTACTAAAATTGTTGAACTATTCACAATAAAAGGATTGTGAATTCATCGAGTAAAGTATTTCCGATTGATTGGCGAACAAGCCATCGTCGAGAAGAGGACGATCTGCTAGGAGATGAGTCGCCACCTCTTAAGAGCATACTAGATGCAATGAAGAGCTTCCTCTTGCTACGCGGACCTAAGGATGAAACTCCTTGACACGTGCCCCACCTCCATCCAGCTCCTCTCCATCGGGTGACAATTGCTGGAGAGCCGCAAAGTCGTTGTTTTTCTGCTCTACCGAGTGATAGCCATCGGAGACAATTCGACGACTCATTTCATTAATCTCTAGAATTCGCAAGGAGATCTAGAGATTGCCTACGTCATCTTTGTCCAAAGAGAGCCTTCGAAGCCATGGACATTACATGACGATCCTCCCAAATGCTTAGGATTCTAGTACATTATTAACGCATCATCATTGCAATGTCGAAACTCTGTTTTCTTACTTTCAACTTACTTTACGCTTCATTTAGTGATAATTTATGTGATTTTAATTTACCAAAATATACTTCGTTCAATTACGATTCTTCCAACTTTTACAGATCTTAATTTGATTAATTAAATCATCTATAATTACTTACGTAAGAATTGCTGAGTGAAACTTTGTTTCTACCTAATTTGCCTTCGTCAGGCACTGACATCATCTTGACATCTGCACCCTTATTTCTCTTTTTTGTGAATTTTAAATATATTTCTTTTTTATTTCTTAGTATAAAATTTATAAAAAATCATATTCTTTGAGAAAATTTCTGAATAATTACCAGATATTATATTACATCCCTATGATCGACTTGAAAAATTATCACTCTTTTTAAAAGTTTTATTGAATTAGACTTGATATATTTGTTCAAAAATACTTTTAAATATCTAAAAAGTTATATTTTCTAGTTTTATAAAATTTAAATTTACGTGATTTACAATACAACAACTAAATCACATCAGACATCATACTTTGCAAGCATTAAGGTCATGTGAAAGGTATGAGCTAAAACACAAGATAGAGTGGGGGATGTCGAAGCTAGAGAAGTCAT